CACCACCTGTGTGTTGCTTGAATCATATCACAGCTACATGAGTGCCTAACTGCCACTCCCCCACTCCACCCTCCACCCCTTTGTTGTGGATGGTAGATGCAAGTGCTGGGAGGGTCCACACACACTGTGGAGACTTCCTTTCACCCAGAGCAGCCACTTGGTCTAGCTACAATGTGGCATTCCCTCACCCAACAAATAGTTATTGAATACCTATTACGTGCACCACATTGGTTGCTTGGGAGTGGGCATGGTGGTAATGCAAAAATGACTGAGACGAGGATGCTGCCCTCACACTGCTCAGCATCTGAGAGACACATGTACACAGGGCCCAGAGGAGTGGCTCACACATGTAATCCCAGCATTTTGGGAGACCGAGGCAGGAGAATTGCTTGAACCCAGGGGTTTGAGACCAGCCTGGGCGACATAGTGAGACCTTGTCTCTATAAAAAAAATTTTTTAAATAGTAGGGTGTGATGGTACGCATCTGTAGTTCCAGCTCTAGGGAGATTGAGGAGGGAGGATTGCTTGAGCCCAGGAAGTCAAGGCTGCAGTGAGCTGTGATTGTGCCACTGCATTCCAGGCTGGGTGACAGAGCAAGACCTGAGACCCTGACACACACAAATAAACCAAAACAATAACAACAACAATAACAACAACAAAAACAAAAACTTGTACATAGATTCTTGGACTACTAAGGAGAAGGTGTTAAGTGCTAAAGACTGACAAAGGACTACAGGAATTGACAGGAGGATGGAGAAAGGACTTCATGGTATATATGGTATCTCATGCAGAAGGTAGGATTTGGACAAGCAGACATATCTTGGAAAAGCCCAGACAAAGGGCAGGGACAGGTCAAAGCTGTGCTTTAAGGAGTAGAGTGAGAGCATTTGGAAAGCAAGTTGGAGTCCAGTTGTTGATAGCCTTGAACGCCACGCTGCAGAGATTTAACTTTATTCTTAAGTTCTTAAGGAGAGGGGTAAAATGGTCACAATTATACTTCTGAAAGAGCAGCCGCCTTGGACTGAATTTGCAGGGGTGAGGCTGGAAGCAAGAGAGAGCAGTTTATTTTATGTTTATTTGATAATGCTGAGTCTTTACTGATCACACAGCTGTGTAGGTAGATTGAAAACTTTGGTCAGAACCACTTTTGAAACCCAGACATAGTTTAAGTGACTCATCAGGAAGCCAAGAAGAGTTTCTGAGTCCTCACAGACAAGCCCAAAAAATGCACAGTGTGAACGAGGAAATCTGTTAACAGCTCTTAAACCAGACAACTCAGGTACAGGGGAGGCAGGTTAATGAAAGTCATGTTGTCTGGCTGCCCAGTTAGTGCAGGTGACAAGCCAGCAGCGTGGGCCAAGACAGTGTGGTACAGAGCCTGCAGAGCCAGATAGGGAAGCCCTAGAGAGAGGAGTGGTCGAGATCAAAACGCTCCAAAGGTAACATCCAAACATGTTCTTTTTAAATAGCAGCTTGACTTGACCAGATCAGATTGAAATTTACAGAAGCAAAAAGAGGAACAGCACTTTGGAAAAGCAAAGCCGTTGCTAGATGAACCACTAACAAGCAGCCTTGACTGTCACCTAACTCCTTGGTGGGACCACTCTGTGGATGGTCTGCGAGCCCTTTGGGGATGCAATCAAGTGCAGCCTGCAACAGCAGGTTGGGTGTGAGGCTGCAGCCACCACCAGCCCAGGCTGTGCCAGTGAAGCTCAGACTGTGTGTGAAGCTGCGCCAGAAACAGCCTCTGCAAAACAGTCGCTGCAGGCGTGAATTTTATGAGCTCCCCATATGCAAACTGCCATTCGTCATGCATTGATCCGTTCCTCTAGGAGCATCCGTCCCCAGATGCAGCCTCTCCGCACAGCCTCACCGTAACACCGCCTCGGTCATGCAGCCTCATATTGAAAGCTTCTTCATGTTGAGGTCTTTTTTAGACTAAAATATTTACACCCTTTTTGACTCTGCTGCATCACAGTGAGGGTCTTTTATTTTATGTGTGCACGATTTCCACAATCTTTCTCAAAGACATTTGAGGTAAATAAAATGTAGTCAATAGGTAAATAAATATAGTGAATTTCTAAATAATGAGGCTGAAACAACGCTGCTCTTTCCACAAGAGCCAAGCCTGATGATTAAAGCAGAACAGAGGCTGGCCCAGAAATTCACTAGAATTCAACATTACTAAGCAGAAACTTTTTTTTTTTTTCATTTCTGTAAAACTTGGAATTCCTGTCTTAATTAGGTGTCTTCTTCTGGGAATTGTATTCAATATTCTGTTATCTTTGATGGCAGAACTCAGTTATTGACAATTTTTAAGGATACATTCAGAGCTAGGCTATATAAAATGATGAGGATAAAACGTTTTCTTTGCACATCTGACCTGGCTGTGTTTTTCTTTCTTTTATAGAAAGATAGGTAAGAGTAGGACAAATGTCTAAAAAGGAAATGTCTCTACAGCAGCAGTTTATTTTGTGTTTTGCCTGAATGTAATAAATATTACATTCTGCAGAGGAGAGAGTGGGAGAACAAACAATTACTTTCTGTTTGTTCCATAATTCTGGGCCCTTGCAATTCGCAGAGCAGTATAAGTGCACTGCAAACTTTGGTCTAATATTACTATAATGTAGTTAATGTAGTTAATAACCAAACATTGTATTATTTAGAAGGCATACCTGATGTAGTAATAAGGATGGTGATTATTAAGAAATTTTATATAATGTGAACTAAGCCACAGTGGCTTGAAATACTAGGTTTTATTTAAAAGAACTAAAGTGTCAACACCAATGAATGAGGCAAATACTATATATTGAGGTTTTTTGTTTGTTTTTAGTTTTAGTTTTTTTGAGTCAGGGTCTTACTCTGTGGCCCATGCTAGAGTGGAGTGCAGTGGCACAGTCACAGCTCACCACAGCCTTAACCTCCCAGGCTCAGGCAATCCTCCCTCCTCAGCCTCCAGAGTAGCTGGGACAACAGGCACACTTCACCACACCCAGCTAATTTTTTAATTTTTTTTTTTTTAGAGATGAGGTCTCGCTATGTTGCCCAGATTGGTCTTGAACTTATAAGCCTCCCGAAGTGCTGGGATTACAGACGTGAGCCACTGCACCCAGCCAGATACATATATTGTTGGACACACTGTGTTAATGGCCTTCGTTGGATGGATGCAGGGTGTTTATTTTTTTCTCCTCATCTTGGCTTCTCTTAAAAAAATAAAGAACAACTCAGCGAAAAGATAATTGAGGGTTGCTTACAAGACCTAAATCCTTTGCATGGCTTTTAGGCTCTGTGCAATCTGGTCCCAGCCCACTTCTGACCACATTTTGTACTCTAGAAACCTTGCCTTCTACCTCCCTCCATTCTCACCTCTGGCTCCTTCTTCTTCATCCATGCCTCATTCCTCACATATGCTGTTTCCTCTGCCCACAATGCATTTCCCCTTCTCCTCCCACCCGTCTCTTCTCACTCATTCTCCAGGTTCCAGGATATTTATATAAAGCCAAGTCTCCCTGTCATATGTTTGTATAGCACTTACATGCAATGTGTAAGTATATATGTGTGCAATCCTTTGATCAGTGTGTAAATCCAGTCTTTAAGTTCTGGGAAGTCTGTTACCTTATCACTGGATAAATGTCCAAAAAATATTCACTGAATTGGATTTTTAGAGAGAATACAGAGAAAAAGTGAGAAATAGCTTAGATTTGAGGAAGTTAATTTTTTAATGGCTCCTAGAAAGACTAAGAACCATAAAATGCAAGAGCAGAAAACAGTCAGTGTATTGTATCAGAGTCCTCAGTAAAACCCAAATGTTTGGCATTTTTAAATGTCAAGATTCAAAAGCAGCTTCCTTCCTGATCCATAGTGTCAGCACTTCAACAAGTCACATACCCATAGCTTATACTATGTTCTCGTTACAACCTAAATGCACTTATATACAGATCTATATGGAGTAGGCTGTTCACTTTCTAACGTCAAGAAAAAGGCTTATACTGTTCAATTAAACATTCTGGTTGATAACATCACCTGACACATATCATGCCCATAGAATCCATATTCCATGAATCCAATTATGCTAAACTGCATTTAATTCTGAGACTCACTAGGCATCATTTAAGCACTGATAAGAATATGCGATGGTTGTACAATGCTTTCATGATCACTTACCTTTACACCTGCAGTACTCCAGTATTGGTCAGCAGCAGCTACAGTAATCCCTTTTATGGAAAACTGGATGAGCCAGGTTTTACTAAAATCGATGGAGCATCCTGTAGCAATGGCAAGTACTGTGAGAAAAAGGTCAATTAATTCCAACAGGCAAGGAGAAAGAATATATGCTAAATTTGACTTAGAAATGCATATAGGTCATTAAACATTGAATACAAGCTTTAGCCTACTAAGATCCTCAGCACATGTATTTACTTTTACTACTGTAAATGTTTGATTTTCAGAAGTGTGTTTGGAAACTTTTGTATTATGGCTAAGGTTAACACTTTAAAAATACAGTGGCCCACATTTTCATGTCTTTACGAGCATCGATGGGGATGCACACTTCCATGACCCTTGAGATGACTGTTTTCACTGTGCAGAGAGAGAAGCTGAGGCAAGAGGCTATTTCTGTACATTTTCTAAAGATACCCCTTGAGCCAGTGGGAAGGAGGCCTGAGACAGAACAAGATTCTGTGTCCTCACTGAAAACATATCTCGTACGCATCTGTAGTCTTGGGGGAGGGTGGATTGCAAACCAGAGTTGATTTTCACACTTGCTCCTTCCCCCCCTAAGGAGATCTTTGCGAAAACGTGTACACAAATAAAATGGATGTCAAGGTGATTACCAGGATGACTCTTCACTGGTCTGAAAGGCCTTGAGTATGCCTGATGACAAGAAGACAGATCCATTGGCTTTTCAAGGTCCTTCTACTATAATTCTATCCAGTTGGTGATTCGTATATGAAAAATATTTACAGTGCTTACCTTTCTATTTCTTATCTTTTCCTTTGCAGATCTATGCAGTTAGATCAGTCGTTCCCAACAAAAGCAATAATGAAATAGTCCTGGTGCTACAACAGTTTGATTTTAATGTGGATAAAGCCGTACAAGCCTTTGTGGATGGTGGGTATACATGTCCCCTGGAGTGGAAGATGTTAGAAGTAAATTTTCCATATACCCCATAAGTTTGTTCCTAAATGAACAGAATGTCAATTAGTTACTAATACTTTAGTTCACAAAAATATTCATAGTCAATAAGAGCAGAATTTGGAAATTGTTTTTCCCTCATTTAAGAAATAAATGACTGTAGCTGGTTTTCAAAGGATACTGATTATAACTTAACTGATTTCTGCCAGTCATTTCAGTTTGTTATTAAACACAACCTTTATTTGATGATGTCCTTGTGAATGAGGACAGTGTCCTTAATTCCTGACCTGCAAAGCTTTCTTACCTCTTCACCCCACATAATTCTACTTGACTGTGTGACTGTAGTGCTTTAACTTGATGCTTATGTATTCTAATAGGACCAGTTTATTCTTTAATATCCTTAGTTTATAATTTTTAGATCTTCTAATGAATCAGAATATCAGTTTATACCTCTATAACCTTTTTGCTTTCTTAAAAAGAAATTGTTGTTTAAATAGTCCATAGCCAGGGATGTAATCGAATCTAAAGTCTCAGGAATATGTTTATCTTATAAATTTACAACTTAATGCTTTAGATTTCCTGTAAATTAAGGGAAAATTCTCCTCTCCTAGTCAAATTAAACAAGCTCCAGTTTTGAGCAAAGCTCTCTTACCTGTCTTTAGTTATCACATGTCTTCTGCTCTGGTATTAGTTTCTATTTCGTAAATAAGGACTAGCTGAACATAATCTGACAAACAAGGTCAGGGAAGACATGCTAACACATCTCTTAGTTGTATCCTATTTACAGTTTATTTGTCAAGGACAGTGTGATTACTTATTTTCCTAGGAAAAGAGTAACCTCCTTGAGTTTCTACGAGTATAACTGCATTTCAGGGCAAGATCTTGGAACCAAGCTACATGCTCACATTCTGGGATCAACAGTCAAGCTTCAGGGTCCTAACTGAATTAGCAAATGATTATCATTCAAAATTGACCTGTAAGCAAATCCACGGTGCATAACTTTCCTCGCTGTGTTTCCCTGCTTCATATACTAACAGATACAGAATCTTTAGTCTTAAGAAACAAATTGTAAAGAATGGAATATTAATTTCGACTTTTCAGCATCAGGTGCAATTTGGCTCAGAAATTTTTTGGAAATATGCACATTCTGGTTCAGATAAACTGTCTTTCCGGGGTTCACTTGCCAACAGCACTTGTGTGGAAAAAAGCTTTATGAAAGGGAAAAGGTTATTATCCGCATTCCTCTCTCCCTCTACTTGGAGGGTGGCCCCCACGTTCCCCACCATGGGAGTTTTTACTGCAGAGTGCCCTTGATGAGATGCACAGATGCACAGTAACTGATGGACTGTCATCAGATCTGCTTGTGTTTAAATAGAGCACCTTTCTTGTCCTTCGTGAAATTTTCACCTTGTCAGTGCTGAGATACCATTAATAAAACTCATTGATTGCAGAGAAGCCTCCTAGGAAAAACTTGGTTAAAAACCACTGGGAGTCAAAAATATTTGTCACGAGTCATTTATGAGGTATATGTGGCTGAAAAAACTCCAAGCAGTTTCAATGGCTAAAAAAACTCCAAGCAGTTTCAGTATAATTAAAATTTAATAGCAGTTTCAAAATCCTCTGTACATAGGGGTATTTCTTTTTCAGAAGTACTCTCTAAAGCTATTGTCCAAATTACAAATAGAACTTATAACAAAATATAAAAGTTAGAGGACTAACTAAATATTGCAATTGTAAAAGCAGTAAGCCACTTATCACCTTCTTCTGATTAAAATGAATGGTTTTAAACATATTTTAAAATTTGATTTTATTTAGAAAACTGAAGTTTAGCCATAAGTAAGAACTACTTGAATTATTATTAACCCAGACTTACCATGAAACCTAATGAAAGTGATTTTCTAAAGTTCATCAAAAGGAAAATACTGGGAAGCATTAATTCTCTGGGAAAAGAAAAAACACCAGCCAGTACTTAAAAAGTCTGAATTATAGCTTACTTTTAGGTACAGTCTTATTATTTCAAGTGTATGCAACTCAAACAAGTCTAAGAAGAGCACTGAATTGGAAACTTTAAATAGATAGGAATAATTAGCCTGTCTAAACATTAGTCAAAACCATATGGTCTTCTGCTTATCTAACTATGCCAGTAGACTCAATAATTGGGACCCTACTAATTTGAAATTTATTATAAAGACCAGCCTGAAGTTTATCTTTGTTTAGCCAACACACTCCTTGTAAGGAGCTATTGGTATAATAAAATTGTATGAGAATGCTTGAAATTGTTAAAACAGTGCATTTAAAAGAAATACCCTCTTTTAGAAGTACTGTACCTGTTTCTTTAAAGTCAACTGATGTACTCATTACCAACAACTTGTTATTGAAGTTATTAACTCCAGCACAGCTGGAATGAATTAATTAACTTTGTTATTCTATGTGAAAACATTGATTGTAGCTGACCAGTGATAAAACATTTCTTTGAAAGATGTTTTATAATTTGACCAGGCTAGTCTTTTTCCTCTGAGTCTGTGCAGTTCCCTATATGTATGTGAACGGGATGAACAGAACTTCTTTTTAATGAACTTCTTTGGTTTCAAGGTGGAAGCCTTGTGAAGACTGCATCCCATTCTTGTCCACAGTGACTAAAGGGAAATTAACACCATCATATCTGTCTTCCTCATTCCCCAGCCAAATGTGAACATATGAGGAGGGGAGAAAAGAAGGAATGGCCAGACCAAAAGCTATGACTCACATGGTTAATAATATTCAGAATCTCATGTTTCGTTCAGAAGATTGTAGGTATTTGTATTCATATATCAAACAGAACAATTTTAATTCTACCTATGGCAACAAAGCTACCAGAAAATTCTCAAGATATATTTCATCTTCCCTAAGACAATACAATGATGGAGAAAAAGTAAGCCTCATGTAGTGTAGGGCTTAATATTTTGATAAAACCAAGATCATTCAGTGAATTAAATGAAAATCTGGGAAATAAAAAAAATGAAACTGGCATTTTTATTAAGATAGGATATATCAAAACAAATGAAAAAGAAAAAAAAATTGCTACCAAGACAAAAAGACAGAGATGAATTTTGTGTGGTGTTTTATTATGTGAATATTTGTTAAAGATTCTTTGTCTTTATCCAGGCAGTGCAATTCAAGTTCTAAAAGAATGGAATATGACAGGAAAAAAGAAGGTAAGATTGATATTGATTTTAAATTAGTAACATCTTCAGTCAAAGCCTTCATGGTTATCATTGTAACAAGGCTGCCAATTGTATGCATCTTTCAAATATGTTAATATACACACCCAGAAAGCTTTCAAATTCACAACTCTCTTAAATTACAGCTACTCACACTACTAATGCCTTTATTTTCTGTTCAATGTTTTTAACTACCACATGGGCTTAAGAAGTCCCAGAGTTGTTTTCCTTTTTAAGTATTAAGGGAAGCCCCACTGGAAAATTCAAAGGATTCAAAACATTGACTTGTCTGAACATATCCTGTAGCACAAAGAAAAAAAATTAAGGAGTGTCTTAAAGATACTTGAAAAGCTCCAAATATATTTTTCACGTGTTTTTCCACCTGAAAGAATCTATCCAAGGCTGCTCCAAGACTCTGTTTTGGCTGAATTCTAAGACAGATCTTTAATGAAAGAGGAAAAGAAAATGCCTTGGAACCACAGCAAGGGGTCTTCCTGAGCACGGCCATGCTCTCCTAGAATAGAGAGAGAAGGAGATGCCACTCTGTCCCTTTCAAATGTATTGCTTTCTTGTCTAGTCACAAAGAGTCTGGGACTTCTGGGCATGTGTGAGGTGTGTTTATGCACATACTAGCAGAAGCCTGACACTCTTTTCAAAGCCACTGTCCCACCTGACCCACTGTGACGCAGCAAGGCCTGTGTTTGGTTTTCCCAGGATATAGCGCACTAGTCTACCCTTCTCCATGAGAGAAGATCACAGGCTTAGAAACAGGTTCTGAGCAAACAGAAACGCAGTATTGCTTTCATGAAATTCCAAGATTACTGAAATTACTGGAATCATCCTTTCTCCCTCTGTCTCCTCCTCATTTTATGTAGAACAGGAAGAATTATGAGATTTTTAAAAATTTTCATATGCCACCATCTTTAACATTCTCTGTTTATCTTTAATCATAGCTTCTAGGGTTTCTATGAGACATGAAGATGATTGAAAGGCAGTATTCGTACTCACAGAGAAAAATTCCAAGTGTGTAGTTTGGGTATTAAGTTTCTCTGGTATGAAAAAAAGAGCAGACAGCAGCTGCAGCCCCAGTTCCTCACAAGTTTCCCTCTTGGAGGTTCAGAAGGAAGATGGTCTTCCCAGCCCAGCGGACATGGAGTTTGAAAATCAGAAGCCACTGGGAGTGTTTGGAAGGATTAAGTGCCACTGGCCTCTCCTTCACCTTTGGGCACACATATATCACCTAGAGGAGCACTCACTGGGGCATGATTGTGGTTTCAAAGGAAAAGAAATGGAGTAGGAAGGAGAACTAAGAAGGGGAGACAGTTTCTTTTTATTTCTTGTTGAAATGTGTTGAAGAATAAAGCCAGGCTGATGTCCGTCTAGTACGCATGAATTCAAGAGGTGGGACAGGATCATCCTGATGGGTCAGGCATCTGTCCTGATTGGCTGGGCTTGTACCATACTAATTGTTCATATCACTCACTGAATGTCAACTGAGTACAAAACCAACATCAAGTAAAACAGACAACATTAGTAAGAACAATATCTTCTCGATTTCCTTTATATTATTATATGTTCACCATCAGGACATTGTAGGAGAAATATAGTCAAACCTTGCACTTTGGACCCCTGTGATTTTGGGGTCTAAAAAGTTTCACTTGTATAAAATACAGGATTGTGTTATTTCAGAGTAATTAAAATGAAGCTGTAATGCTGTTCAGCAAGCAACCAGGGGTTCAGCCCCCCAATCCCAAAACAGGTAAACTCAGATCAGCTTGGCATTGCCTTATAGTAGTGTCAGCCCCAGCTTAACTATTCATGAGGACGATGATGGACCCTGTGGCCACCTGAGACTTCCTAGACAGTGGCAGCAAGTCCAGGAATTTCCTTGTTGGGTGGTGTCTATTTCAGAGACCCAACCTGGACTTAAGGACTTATCTTCTACGTCCTCATTTTGCAAGGAGTCCTGCCTTTTCCCTACCAGTCCTTCCCTTAACCTTTTCTCCTCCCCAGATGATGGGAGCCTCCGTGTCCTCCTTGCCTCCCCAGCCCCATCACCACTTTAAGAAGTAAGAGCAGCCGGGCTCGGTGGCTCAGCCTGTAATCCCGTGCCTTTGGGGAGGCCGAGGTGAGTGGATTACCTGAGCCCGCGGGTTCGAGACCCGCCTGGGCAACTTGGCGAGACCTCATCTCTACAATCAATCAAAAAATCAGCCGGGTGTGGTAGCCCATGCCTGTAATTCCAGCTATTCGAAAGGCTGAGGTGGAAGGATTGCCGGAGCCCAGCAGGTCGAGGTTGCGGTGGCCGGGAGCGGCCACTGCACTCCAGTCTGGGCGACAGAGTGAGACTCCCACTCAAAAAAAAAAAAGAAGTAAGAGCACAGCAGGGCTCGGTGACTCAGCCTGTAATTCCAGCACTTTGGGAGGCCGAGGCAAGTGGATTGTCTGAGCCAGTGGGTTTGAGACCAGCTCAGGCAACTTGGCAAGACCACGTTTCTACAATAAATAAAAAATTAGCCGGGCATGGTAGTATGCACCTATAGTTCCAGCTACCTGGGAGGCTGAGGCGGAAAGATCACCAGAGTCCAGCAGGTCGACGCTGGGGTGGCCATGAGTGTGCCACTGCACTCCAGCCTGGGCGATGGAATGGGACTCCAACTCAAAAAAAGAAGAAGAAGAAGAAGAAGAAGAAGTAAGAGCTGTTCCCCAATGGCATAGCTGAATTCAAGTTATTTCAGGACAGTTATCACAAGATTTGACTGTGCTGCTATCATTCATCTATGTAGAGCCTCAGGTTGCTCAAATAATGTGTAAGCTATTTAAGCCTTTCCTTGTTATTTTATTCCTTTTATTGGAGTTCTTTTGTTTACTGTGTTTATGAGGTAAACGTTTATGTAAACTATTGTAAGAAAGAAGCTATTTAAATGAATTGGGGAGTTAATAAAGATGTAGATGTCTTTCACCCATTCTATTAGAAGAACCAGGAGCCAAGAAAGAGAATGTATCTTATTTGGACCTCTCAGATTCACCTTCTGTTTCAAAAGTCTGAGCTGAATGATATTATTTTCTCATTTGTTGCTCCTTCTAGAACAATAAAAGAAAAAGAAGCAAGTCCAAGCAGCATCAAGGCAACAAAGATGCTAAAGACAAGGCAGAGAGGCCTGAAGCAGGGTCTCTGCAGCCACCACCTCCACAGACACAGACACAGAACGGCCACATGAACGGCTGTGAGAAGGATTGCTCATCCACTGATTCCACCAGTGAGAAACTAGCCGTGATTCCTCGTGAGAAAAAGATCTCGATCCTTGAGGAACCTTCAAAGGCCCTTCCTGGGGTCACAGGTCAGTAATGCAGGAATAAAGTTGCTTAGGAAGGCATAGAAAAAAAGAACGTGCAGGGAACTCGTGGGGCAGTCGTTGCTACCGTTAATATTGTTGGAAATGGAAGACTGTTCTTCCGCAGTGGTCACGAATTCAGTATTCCTGAAGCCAGGATCGAGGTGAAGGGAGATGTCACAGGGCCAAAGAGTAATTGCTCAATCCAGCCCCACATTGTCAGAGGTTTTTTTTTTTTTAAATGGAAATCCTAGTTTAAAGAGATACTCTATGTAGATATCCTTGCTGAAATTCAACTGGGATTAGGGAGAGATAATTGGTGACAACAGGAAATGTTATTAAATGTTTTCCCTTAGAAAGATAAATCAGATGATTTTGACTACCAGTGTTTTTTATGTAATGCAACAGAAAATAATCTTCCAGGGTGTTGGAATATAAAATGTTAGTTATTTGTGCTACAGCTGTACCTTAATTAATCTACAAAAGGCTCTTCTTAATCGACTTTTTGACCTTGGGTGCGTTATTTCTTCTCTAGGGTCCTATTTCTTTCTGAGAAATAAGAAAACTGTACTGGAATCTACTAGATCACTGGTTCTTAATACTCTTGACCCAGTGTCCCATATTTATGACAAATCCTAAAATAAAATTTATACATACTATAACCTACCTAGAATCAGAGTTTTGATTAAAGTAAAAAAATATAAGAAATTCAGGAATAACTAAAGAGACAGGCATCTGCCCACTTATAATGAATCCCTTTGTAGTTAGAAATGAGACAGTAATGAAACAGTCAGCTGATGGTTGTAGACATGGTCTCTTTATATTGGACATGTGAAGTAAGAGCTTGATAAATATATCTATATGTGTACATGAAATCATGGTGGATGCCACTGCTCTGGATGCAGATGGATCGAGGGTGACGGTGTCCATTCCAATACCATGGCTGCTGGTGTGGTTGGCCATGTAATTTGCCTCATAGTGAAAAACTCTTAGTCAAGTTCTAGACACCATAAAGGACCATCTTCCCTTAATAGATACTATGATTGAATCCTAGAAATCCAATTAAATCCTGCAAATCCATGGCAAAGTGGTCTAGGCTCATATAATTGTCATTATTTTTTAACAGTCGTGAATGTCCAGGAGAACATGAGAAATTCAGACACAGGACACTTCTTTGTTGTGCCCAAAAAATTGCATGATGACATGTATCAAGTCAGGCTTACAGAGAGGAGGCATTAAGTAACTCACACATTCTGTAACACATTAATAAGTTCTTAAATTGCTCACAAAGCACCAGTTTTCTTCCAGAAACACATTCCTAACAATTCCATTAATACTGCTGTAATTCAGATCATCCTTATTTACTATATGATGGTTTCCTAAAACCAAACAATAACAGCAAAAATAACCTATTTTGTTTTAAATCTGAATTCTCCAGGAGTTTTTAAATTTAATTTTCACTATGCCTACAATTTTTAGAATGTTTTGATTTACAGTCAGAGCAAGAGAAAGAAATTAAATAATCAAGTGGCACATTCCCAACTTTACTAGTTATTGCTTTCACATGAATTACTTTCAAAATCTAATTACTCAAGTTGCTATTTTGACATCAATCATAGACTAAAATCCTAGTGTGTATATGTTTTAATTTACTTATAATTTATAACTTCTTCCTAAAACAACTTCAGTAACTCTATCAAGTATATGACATTAGAGCAAATACCATGTACTAGTACTTCCCTTCCCCATGGAGCACTGCCTAGAAAGTAAAGTACTTCCCAGGGGAGTTTCCTGCACAAGGGGGCTTTTGTAAACCCTCTCATGAAACTTTCTGTGAAGAATTCTTTATTGCCCAAAAATCCTTCCCAGTATCCCTTATGTTTTGTAAGTTTAGCATGAAGGCATTGAGGTATATCAGTATTATTTGTTAATCTCACTGATTCATTACATATCCTTGTACTTACTGTAAATCTTTCTGTTAAAGAATAAATGATGATAATGGAAGGTTAGTAGATGTTTTTTCAAAAGGATGGGAATCCTCCTTATTGACCATGAACTTCATTAGCAGTCCACTTGTTAAGATCATACATTTTAAAATGAGTTTGTAACTACAGTAGTTCCCCCTTGTCTTCAAGGGATATGTTCTGAGACCCCAGTGGATGTCTGAAACTGCGTACACTATGTTTTCTTATGCATACATACCTATGATGAAGTTTGATTTATAAATTTGGCACAGTAAGAGATTATAATAATCAATAATAAATAGAATAATTATAACAATATATTATAATAAAAGTTATGTGAATGTGGTCTCTTGCCCCCCCTCTCTTTCTTTCTCATTCTCTCTCAAAATACCCTATTGTCCTGTATTCATCCTTCTTATTGTGATGGTGTGGGATGACAAAATGGCTGTGGGATAAGATGCTGTGACCTTGACCTGGTAACCGAGATGGCCACTAAGTGACTGACAGGCAGGCGTGGTATACAGTGTGGATACTCTAGACAAAGGGATGATTCACATCCTGGGTGGGACAGAGTGAGATAGCACGAGATTTTATCACACTATTCAAAAAACCACAAGATTAAGACTTATGAACTGTTTATTTCTGAGATTTTTCATTTACTATTTTAGAACTGTGGTTGAAACCATGAATAAGGGAGTACTACTATAGTTAGGTTTTCCTTCCCAAAGATTATGAAGGTTCATGAGGAAGGTGAGGCCAAAACTCCCAAATGGCTTTAAATGCTTAGTCGACCTATTCAAAATTCTGAGAGCTCTGATAGACACTTCACAGATGAGTGGTAGACCTTGGACACTCTACCCATTTTGAGTAGAACCTTAGCACTAAAAAGGATGAGAGTGATTCTTTAATCCTGTCCTCTCACTTTACACCCAGTGAAACCAAAGCTCTTAGGTTGAGAAACTGAGATGACCCTCTTAGCTCTCTGTAGCTTGCAAAAGCCTACAGAGTTAGTGCCCTACAGAGTTACTACTAAAACATGGGCTCCCTAACTCCTAAAAAATGTATAATTGAAAAATTAGAAAAAGTAATAACAACAAAGCCATGTAACAATATTCTGCACTTGAGTGGGTTCACAGTATGAGCCTAAAAGAAATCTCCAGGCTACCAGGAGAGGAGCATTTATCAAGCTCTCCAATAATGAAACTGGCTCAACAAAGCCTGCCCTGATGCCCTGCTGGGCAGGAGGCTGTGAACACGTGTGATGCATGCTTTATCTTTTCATAACACCTTGGCATTCAGGAGCTCTCTTTTTTAAAAGTCTTATACAGATTTATGTTCTGGTGGGGGAGAAATTAGCTCTAAGATAGATGCAGGTGGTTCAGGGGTGTTAGTGTAACTTCCTACGTGAAAAATAACCACCAGAAGCATCCTCGTTTCAGGCTGTAAATATAGCACCGTCAAGTGGGACAATGCTGTGTGTCAGCAGATAACTTAGAAGCTGAGGAGTATGTCTTAAGCCTGAGCGTAGTTTTTTCTGTATTTCAGAATTTTTATTAACAGCTCAAATTGGATCTTTGCATAATCCAATCAAAATCCACCAAGGTTCATGCACAAAGTCAGAAAATGAGTAGATCCAGATGTATTTTTACCAAAAGTAGTGCCAATGATAGTATTTCTTTTTTCCTAAGACTCCATCTCACATTATCACCTTAGGGTTCAGTTTTCCCAAATGTTCCTCCTGCTCTGTGTTTTCTGAGGCTCATGTTACAAGGTGTACAGCATTTTCTTGTCTCCTTGTAGACCAGAATGAAATTCAGATTCTTTTATTGTCTTTCACCCACTGGACACCATTCCCATGGAAGAGGAAAAGGGCAAGATAGCTACCAGCAACCTCCTGGAGATGAACTTTGGGGCGGGGTGTCCTCTTTCATCCTCCCTTCCTGCTGACTCCGGCAGCCAGTCATTCTCTGAATTCCCTCATCTTGTAAAGCATCCTGGGAAGCCATGTCTTCTGTTCCCTGTTCCCTGTTCCCTGTGTCAGACAGATGGCTCCCTGCCGCGTGTGCCCACCCTCCCGAGGTGGACCTTACAGTCCGCCTCACAGAGCAGGAACAGCCCTGTCACTTTACCTTTATGATGGCAGGGTCTGTGTTCCTGTGTGACAAGGACACAGAGCTGTTCTTTCATCCTCAAAGCCTAGTGGGCCAGAGGTGAGAGAAATGGTCCTGTTATTTTAGAATATTTATTGCTCATCCCTCATCTGTGTTTTCTATAAGGCAACAACAAAACACCCCACCACCATTTCATAGGATTTTTATGGTCTGAGGCTTCCCACAGGGTTTCCAAACAGGTTTTTTTCATGTTGCTATTGGCCCTGACCTTGAGATTATCTCCCCTGCTTCTCTAAGCCCTATATTGGACCAGAGGATTAGAAGAGATCAACAAGAAGAAAGCAGCTTCCTTAGAACTTGAATAGTAAAGCCAAATGTGTATATTCTAGGATTTCAGCAGTGCCAGCTCTCAAATGGAAGCAATATAACATCATAGCTAAGAAGTGGGTCTTTGGCAGTAGACAAGTTTGGATTCAGATCTTGGCGGCGTCACTTACTAGGTGTGTGACCCTAGCCGCGTGAACTACTCTCTGTCTCAATTTCCTCGCTTGCAAAATAAAAGCTACACCTCCACTTTACAAGATATAGTGAGCAGTGAATGAGAGACAGAGTGATTCGCACAGCATCTGGTACAGAGTAAACCCTCATATCATTTATTTATCCATTGAGTAAATATTTTTGAGCATCTAACATGTGCCAGGAATTCTTCCACAGGAAGGGAACAAAACTAACAATGTTTTCCCTCTCTGGAGAGATGACATAGATAATAAGTGACATGACACTCTTCTGATTTGATTTCCCCCTCTGTCTTTATTGTTTTGTCTCTGTTTCTTTAGAGGGTCCTTCTTTATCTACCTGTTAGATTGCTGGAGCTCGTCTAGGTTTTTCACCAAATAAATACAACCAAGTGACTGAGCTAATTACAGATGAT